TTCCCCTTTCTCCGCATCCTCGCCAACATCTGTCGTTTCCTGACTTGTTAATTTTAGCCATTCTGACTGGTGTGAGGTGGTGTCTCATTGAGGTTTTGATTTGGATTTCCCTGATGCCGAGCGATGTTGAGCACTTCTTCATGTGTCTGTTTGGCCAAAGGATTTATAGTGATAATGTTTATTTCATTCCTGATATTGATGATTTGTATTTTTTCTCTTTTTATGTTTGTCAGTCTTGTTAGTGTTGTATCAAATCAATTTTAATTGATTCCCCCTCAAAGAACGAGGCTTTTGTTTTATTGATTTTCTCTGTTTTCCTGTTTTCAGTGTCATTGATTTCTGATCTTATGTTTATTATTTCCTTCCTTCTGCTTGCCTTGGGCTTCTTTTGCTCTTCCTTTTCTTGTCCCTTGAGGGAGGGATTTAGATCATTGAGACCTTTCCCTGTTGTAGTGTAAGCATGTAGTTCTATAAATGTCCCTCCCTGCACTGCTCTAGCTTCATCCTACATATTTTGGTATGTCATATTTTCATTTTCATTTGGTTCTATGTATATATGTATTTGTTTATTTTTAAAGATTTTATTTATTTGAGAGAGAGTGCACACGAGCAGGGGGGGAGGGGCAGAGAGAGGGAGAAGCAGGCTTCCCGCGGAGCAGGGAGCCCAATGCGGGGCTCCATCCCAGGACCCTGAGATCATGACCTGAGCCAAAGGCAGATGCTTAACCAAATGGGCCACCCAGGTGGCCCTGTATTTTTTTAAATTTATTTTGAAACTTCCTCTTTGAGCCTTGGATTATTTAGAATTCTGTTGTTCAACTTTGACTTCTGAGAGATTTCCTATTGATTTCTAGGTTGGAGAAGACACTCTGTATGATTTCGGCTCTGTTAAGGTTCTTGAGGCTTATTTTGGGCCCAAATGGTCTATCTTGGTGAATGTGTGTGAAGTGTGTATTCTGCTCTTTTTAGGTGGAGTGTTCTATATATGTCATTTAGATCCTATTATATTATTCAGATTTTCTGCCTCCTTGATGATTTTCTTTCTAGCAGCTCTGTCAGTTGGTGAGAGGGTGTACAAGTCCCCAGCTATAACTTTGGACTTGTCTATTTCTTCTTCCACATCTGTCAGGGTTTTTTTGATGTATTTTGAGGGTCCTATTTAGTACTTAATACATATAGGACCTTTATGTCTTCTCAGGGGATCAGTCTTTTTATCAGCATGTAATACCCCTCTTTGTCTCTAGTAATTTTCTTTGCTGTGAACTCTACTTTGTTGGATATAAATATAGTCACTCCTACTGTTTTAAAGATTTATTTGAGAGAGAGAGCATGCACGGTGGGGAGGGGCAGAGGGAGAGGGAGAATGAAACTTAAGCAGACTCGGCCCTGAGCGTGGTGCCCAACATAGGGCTGTCTCACAACCCTGAGGTCACAACCTGAGCCAAAATCAAGAGTCGGAGATGCTTAACCAGCTGCGCCACCCAGGCGCCCCATCATTCCTACTACTTTAAGATTAAAGTAGTGCACGGTATATCTCTTATAGCCCTTTTACTTTCAGCTTATCTACGTCTTTGAACTGAAAGTTTCTTATAAACAGCTTGTAGTTGAACTGTATTTCTTTATCCACTCTGCCAGTCTTTCTTTTGATTGTTGTATTTAGGCCCTTTATATTTGATAATTACTGATAGGCTAGAGCTTAAGTCTACCATTTTATTATTTGTTTTCTATTTGTTTCCTCTGGTTCTTTTTCCTCTTGTTTCTTTTTCCTTGCCTTCCTGGGGGTCACTTGAATATTTTTTTAGGATTCTGTCTTGATGTCTTTATGGTGCGTTTGAGTGTATTTGTGTGGTTTGTATGATGGTTACTCTGAGTATTCCTATATATAGGAACATGTGACTTATCACAGTGGACAGGTGTCAACATTTTCTCATGTCAAGTGACTTTACTTCCACCAGATCCCTTTATCTTTTTGACTTTTTATTGTCTTGAGTATCAGATGGTGTTACAACTTGTGTTTCAGTCGTCAAGTAGTTTTAGAAAACTCATGAAGCATAGTTTACAGCATGTAACGAGTTCTGCTCTGTTGTTCCTTCTTCCTGACACTCTAAGATTTCTTCTGTCATTATTGCATTTCTGTTTGGAGAACGTCCTTTGGCCAGTGTTAAAAGTATGTCTGCTAGCAACAAAGTCTTTTAGTTTTCATTTGTCTGAGAATGTCCTTATTTCTCCTTCATTCCTGAAGAATAGTTTCACCAGATGCAGAATTCGTGGCTGATCATTCTTTTCTTTCAGCCCTTAAAAATGTTGTGCCACTGGGGGGTCCCTAGGGGGCATAGTCAGTCAAGGTTCAGTTCAGGTCATGATCTCAGGGTTGTGAGATTGAGCCGCACATGGGGCTCCACACTCAGCGCAGAGTGTGCTCAAGATTCTCTCTCTCTCCCTCTGTTCCTCCACCGACTCGTGTGTGCTTGCACATGCTCTCTCTCAAATAAATTTTTTAAAAATGTGCCACTGGGGTGCCTGGGTGGCTCAGTCAGTTTAAGTGTCCGATTCGATCTCAGCTGGGGTCTTGATCTCAGGATCCTGAATTCAAGCCCAGCACAGGGCTCCACACTGGGCATGCAGCCTACTTAAAAAAACAAACAAAAAATGTTCTACTTCCTTCTGGCCTCTGTGGTTTCAGATGAGAAATCTGCTGTCATATAAAGTGGTATTCTCTTGTAGGTAATGCCTTTTCTCTGTGACTACTTTCAAGGCTTTTGTCTTTAGTTTTCAGAAATTTAATTAGGATGCATCCTGGAGTAGATTTCTTTGGGTCTTTCCTGTTAAGGTTCACTCAGCTTCTTGATTCTGTTGTGTGTGTTTTGCCAAATCTGGGAAGCTTTCACCCATTTTTTTCACAGCCCCCACATTTTTCTTTCTCTTCTGGGACTCCAGTGATAGGAATGTCAGATCTTTTGTTACTGTCCCACAGATCCCCGAGACGTCATTCATTTTTTTTTTTTCAGTCTATTTTCTCTCTCTTGTTCAGACTGGGTAAATTCTACTGAATTCTTCAAGTGCAGTGATTTCTGTCCTCTGCCATCTCTACTCCATTACTGAGCCCATCCAGTGAGTTTTGGTTTTCAGTTTCAATTTTTTGAGCTGAAAATCCTTATTGAAGCTGAAAGTTTAGGTCTTCAATTCATCACGAATACTGAGCTGCTAATATAGAGCAGTAGAGAATCACTTTAGCGAGATGTCTTTAATTTCTTAGTGTCTGAAAAATGGTTTCATAAATCAGAAGCATTCAAAAACCAGATAATGCATCCATACAGAATTTTCTTTTCAGGTGAAAGAAATACTAGCAAGAGCATACATGTGGTGTAGCCTGTTTAGCGGTGTAATTCAGGCATAGCATAGTTTGAGTTGTATGCCAACTGTCTAGGCCACCACAGCTAATTAAAGCAACGCAAACAGTACTGGCTCATTTCTTATATTAACAGGTATCCCAGTGATGATGAAACCAAGACCATCGTTTGCATCCCTTTTGATTTTTGGTGGCTTCAGATTCACGGGTGCATGTTCGGGTGTGGTACTAATACCTTTCACAGGTTTCTCAAAACAGCTTCCAGACTCTCTCCACCTTCACTTTATGCTGATACAATTCTTGCTTTGCGCGAAGAAGATGTTAGTATGATACGGTATCTTTGAGTTGGAGAAGGCAGCCTTCTAATCCCTGGAGCTTTTGTTTCTACAAAAACAGTGAATCTACTTTCATCCCTGTTCCCTAGGTCTAGGGAGACTCAGGAGTTGAGCTAGAGGAAACTTTCCTTTTAGAACATTCTCCTTCTGGGGCGCCTGGGTGGCTCAGGCATTGTGTCTGCCTTCGGCTCAGGTCATGATCCCAGGGTCCTAGGATTGAGCCCCACATCGGGCTCCTTGCTCCGCGGGAAGCCTGCTTCTCCCTCTCCCGCACCCCCTGCTTGTGTTGTCTCTCTCACTATGTCTCTCTCTGTCACATAAATAAATAAAATCTTTTAAAAAATAAAAAAACATTCTGCTTCTTAAGAACATTATGCAGACAGCCAGCTACCAGTAGGCTAAGAAAGGTGCAACACCGTGCTCTTCTCAGGCTCTACCCAGCCCACCCTCGGGGCCCCCAGACGGCTGAGAAAGAGGTAGTAGGAGTTGTTGCTTTTTGTTCTAGCAGAAAGTTACGGTACACGTCAAAAATCAAAAAGTGAGCTTAAATGCGTGGATGCAGCATGTTCAAGGAGGTATTTACCTGACATTACCTTTGTCCTTTAGAACTCCAGTGGTAAACTAACTGACTTCCTGAGCTTCTACACACTCCCCTCCACAGTCATGCACCACCCTGCGCACAAGAGCCTCAAGGCCGCCTACTCCTTCTACAACATTCACACGGAGACGCCCCTGCTGGACCTCATGAGTGATGCACTCATTATAGCCAAATTGGTAAGCGGCTTCCTCCCTTTTTGTCCTGTGTGTTTCTCCAAATATGTGTGCCAAAGTATGTAAAACCTCTTACTAGAGTTCCTTTTGCACCGGTGCCATTCATTTGAGATACTTGTTACTGTTGACCATCCGTCAAAGGGAGAATTTTGATAAGAGTTTTCTTTTAAAACCTCAGAGGCTGTTTGTATCGTTGATTCTATTGCAGCTTAGCCAAAAAGGTATTTTGTGCAAATTAGAAACTCTTAACCCTTATAGAAGAACGCATAAAACCCACAATACAAGGAATATGGGAAAAATACATGGTATCTTGATAAAAGGAATATACATGTTCATGTTGCAGTGCATAATTAGCAACAGGAAACTTTTCTGAACTCAACTAAATAGTCTGAATTTTAAAATTAAAGGAACTTTATTTTTAAAATTAAGGAGTTTAGTATTGAAAAGAAAGGCATTTAAAATGAAAGGAATTAAATTCAAAATGTGCTCTACTATATTTGCAATATTTTTCTATTTCCTTAGTGTGGTAGTTAGGATAATTGTTAAATTCTTGCTACAAATAAACATTTTTTTTTAAAAAGTTAAAATTAGCTGATGGTTATTTCAGTGTAATTACTGGACATGAGAAAATATTATTCATGAAAAATTGAGAACACGTCAAAAGTGTCTTCTTTGATAAAGTGTCTTCTTTGATAAACTGAAAACATTTTTTTAACATAGTACTCCTGCATCTCCAAATCAACATTATCCTATGATTCTTTGATCCTATTGCTCTTTTTCAACTACTTCCCCCCAAAAAAGGCCAATAATAAATTAAGGTAAAACCCCTGAGAAATAGAAATCTATACCACATTTTGCATATTTTTACCTAACATTTTCAAGAAATACAATTTTTACTACTAAAATTTTACTAAATTTATTTCCCAGCATCAGCCCAAGACCAAGTACACATTTAAAGTCTTTAAAGCTTTCGCTCAGTCAGAACTTCAAAAGGCCCATAACTAACAGCTCTGGAGATGGAGCCCCCTGGGCAAATGTTCCTTCTAAAAATATCCTAAGACAGTTTTGAACTGAGTTCTTAACCTATACATAGAACGTAGACATTAAACCTTGTTCTAAATGCATATTCGAGCTATTAGACTTTATTACTTTATTATGTACACTGCAGTACCTAATAGAAAACACTCTAGTCCTTTGATGTTTAAAATCTGAAATCCTTTTTACATTGGCAGAAAGGATTTGATGTATTCAATGCACTAGATTTGATGGAAAATAAGACCTTCTTGGAAAAACTCAAATTTGGCATAGGAGATGGCAATTTGCAGTATTACTTGTATAACTGGAGATGTCCAGGAACAGATTCTGAAAAGGTAAGTGCAGTAGCTACACCCTTTATAAACCTAATAAATGTCCTTAGGAAATCCCATACTTGCTGCCCTTAGGATTAAGGCGTTTTTTTAGTAGCTTTTAAAAAATACAGAGCTATTGTACTATAATTTATTTTTTCTCGCTTACCTGTTCTTACCATTCTGTTTCTTCCCTCCCTTTAGGTTGGACTAGTATTACAATAGATGGATATTTCTATTTCTAGAGCTCTGACATCATCATTTGTTAATATTCTATTTAATGATTCCTGGAACTGCCATTCCAAAGAAGAATAAAAGCACAACTTAAGTGAAATCGATGTAGTCAGTAACAATCAGAAAAGATGAAAAAAAAAACCACCCATATGTGACCAATAGTACATATTTCTAGCTAGAATGTTAACATTCTTTTTTCTCCTCACTGTTTACCCATTTGTAGGAGGGATGAAAGGGTACAGAGAGCACATTCCTCTAATCATCAGACTTTGGGCTGTCTCTTGATGAAGAGAAGGTATTTTTCCACTCTGTAGAAAAGGGACTGTTTTTCTGTGGACTGAAGGGAATCACAGAACTGTGTAAGAAAATCTTTGCTATTGTGTGGAGATAAACTGCTGCATTTCTCTTTATTAAGTGTTGGTCTGTCTGTCCGTGTAACAGAACGAAGGATCCATGTGGAAAATGTGTGCTCCCGTCACCTTACACAGTATCGCTGGGAGCATTTAGGGAATCAGCACCTTCTGTAACTCGGTTACGGAGTAGGTGGGTGTTCAAGTATAGAGGGAGATAAAAATGTACTGGGGACTGGGAAGTACATTTATTTCTCCAGAAGCAGAGTTGCCAAATAAACACACAGATGTGTACTTTGATCTCCAGCAGTCAGTGGATTGGTTCAAAAGCAAAGTTTTGTGCAAACACGTGCTGAGAGTCTACACCCGTGAGTGACTAGACTTCGCTGCTGCCGCACAAACTCGTGTCTTCTCAGCAGCAGCAAGAGATGTCAGGCAAAGAAAATAAAAGCTCTAAAGTCACAAGAAATGCTCAGTGGAATTTATTAGTGCTATCAGGACATAGATAGTTTGAATGTTTTTTATTACTTATGCAAAATTGCACATATTCCTTTACGCTGACTTTAATTTATCATGAAAGCTGTCATGCTAATGGAAAATATCTTACATGTAAATAAGTATTCATAATTTTGTTACTGATGGTGTTTTTATCTAGAATTTGAAAACCCAGTTTTCGCAGTGTACATATACATGTATATATCGCCAGTAGTCCAAGGCGGGGGAGGAATATGCCGAACGAGGCCACAAAGCACGGGCTTTGACTCAGATAGAGTAGATCTTTCTTCCTGCCTTTACTGGGCCAGTGCCTAGGCTCTTCAGTCCAGAAAAATTTAATTTTAGACAACATGACAGCCTTTCCTTTATGTTCTAAGTGGTCAAATGAAAGCAGTCATATCTTAGATCAGGTAGGAGCCAGCAAACTCTGGCCCATGAGCTAGATCCAGCCTGTCACCTGTTTTTGTAGAGCCTATGAGCTAAGAATGGTTTTCACATTTTTGAATGGTTGCTGGGATGGGGCGGCGGGGGGGGGGGGGTGGAATACAGGGAGGGGAGAATCAAAGGAATAACATTTTGTGACATGTGAAAATAATAGGACACTCAAATCTCGGCATCCATAAAGTTTTACTGGAACACAGCCACACTCATTTGCTTATGTATCGCCTGTGGCTGCTTCACGCTACAAAGGCAGAGTTGAGTTATTCTTGACAGAACTGTATGGCCCAAAAGGCCTAAAATATTTACTCTCTGGCCCTTAACAGGAGAAAAAAAAAATTGTCGTCCCCGACTTACACTAGAGCTGAAAGCCACTCTACACCTTCCTACCATCGACCTAAAGACAAACCCGCAGCTGTGACTACCACTAGAGGGCGCTCGGGGACCGCACAGTAGTGCAGTCAGGCCGGCGGGGTTTACCTTTTTGAAGCCTTAGAGAAGACTTCGCATATAGGGCGATTCCGACTCCACTGCATTACCATTCTTTCTTAACAGAAGGAGGGTGGCTTCGGAAGCAAAACTGAACCAGTCCACCAAAACACCGAGAATTAAGTAAATGGGGTTTTAATCGGGAGTCAAGTCTCTAGTTGGGAACTGTGTTCCATTCATTTTTAAGGCACAGCCTTATATGATACAGGTTTTCAGATGATTGCAGAATTGCCAGTCAGTAATTCTATCACAAGCTCACGTCGTGATAAAACTGGCACTTTTCCTTTGTTTACATAATTCCAGTTGTTATAGAATTCAGATGCTTTTAATACAGTAATTAGCATATTTTCCTCTTTATAATTTAGATTACCAATGAACATTTCAAAATTGAAAATTGATAAAACTATTTGTGTTTATAAAGTAGTTACTAGAATTAAATTTCACTGCATTATACAGTGTCTTAAAGATTCAAAAAAACCTTGTCCTTCATCTTCGACAACAATGGAAATGCTCTATGCCATGAGGTGTCTTTCCCTCCCCATCCCCCCCCCTTTTTTTGCCAAGATGGCATTTAGTAAAATTTAAAAGAACAGCAGTGGCATAATCCAAGAGTCAACCAGAATTTAGGCTGAAAATATACTTTAGCAATCCAGTACCTTCCCCCTAAATTACAAAAGGACCTTTTCCAAACACATACTGCAAATGGCAGACACTTGAACACAGACATAGAGGAGTGATTATGCTCCATTTTCTAACATGAAGAACCCCAGTAATTGCGCAAACCCATCTCTGAGACCTCAAGCTCACTTTATTTCTCTTTCTGCCTCATTTGACCTAATTACCAGCATACTTTTTACCCATGTTAATTTTCCAAGGAAATAAGTTAACCATGTAAAGGCGTGAATTTCAACCATTCAAAATACCGCATCTGGCTTTTTCCTATAAGCTCATACATATGCCTACTACAAAGAAAGTCAAATCAACAGGAGGTAAAAAAAATTTTTTTTTTCCTGATATGTTTCTGAAGACAATGTATTGCTTGGTGTTTAGTATCTTTCTTTTAAAACTGATTGAGCTCCAATCCAGTTTCATCTGCATTACTAACTAGAACCTGTTTACTGTGGCACATTTTCCAAGTTTGATAGAAAGATGTCAAGTGTTGTAGGATACAGAATTTCTTGCTTACAAGCATTGTACCAGCCTTTTAAAAAATGAATTTATATACAAGCATGGACATTAGTTTCAATAAACTTTTGTTTTGATATTCATACTTTTGAATATTTTCTGCACTTAAGTGTTTTTAAGTGTCAGCCTATTCATACAAAGTCTTGCACCTATGAAAAGAATGTTACTAAAAGTATCCCAAGAGTATATGTAAAAATAACACATTTTATTAGTTTCAGGGCTTCTTTACGAAGTGTTTTACAGCTGTACGAAATGACAAGTTTATAGAAGATTACTTTGAAGTCGTTTTTTTACCTTTGGGTGGTTTCCTTATCTTATTGGGGTTTGGAATCACTTTCTTTATTTTAAGGGGCTGTAACACAACAGCCTGCTGACCTTCAACAAGCTTCCTTTTATGTTTAGAGAGGTCTTCAAAAGAAGTTTCCAAAATCTCTTTGTCTTGGCTTTCCAAAGATTCAGTGTCTAATTTTTCCCTGGAGTCTTCCGGTCTGCCTTGAAGCCATGGTACGTGTAAACTGGGTACTCTGGGAATTATGGCTTTGACTTCATCAACAAAGGCAGTGGTGTCCTTTCTGAACCCCAAGGCCAGGATACATTTTAAGCCAATGACAGGTGCGAGTGTCTCGCTGAGACGGGGAACCTGACAAGCAGGAACGGATCTGCTCAAACTTAACTGAATCAGGTGTGAGGTGATGAGTGCGGGCTTGGCTGACTTACACACTAGGACCAGCAGCAGCCCATTCCTTTCCAGAGCTCTGGTAACCTCATTAACGCCAATGGTCAGCTGCTTCCTGATGTGGACAGGAGTCCACCCTGACCCTTGCTCATTATCTCCTGGTTGTTTCTCCTTATGATCCTCACTCGTATCAACTTCTGTGCTACATTTGTCTGGGCTCTGTTTTTTTAAAAACTGTTTTTTCTTTTTCTTCTTATCCTCAGTCTTCTGAAGCCCAAGCGATTTAAATCTGTCTTCAAGGGTGTGTAATATAAAGTGCATGTCTTCTCTCTCTAGTGCACTCCAGCAGATAGCATATGGGTTGTTCAGCGCTGTCTTTACCGTTAAAGGTCTTGTCTTCCGAACAGAGCCCCTCCCCGGTGCTTGAGGGGCTGCAGCCATTCTGAAAATCTTTCCTAAGAAGCAGACGACAAAGTAAATTAGTGTTACGAGCAGTGCATGTCAGAAGAATATCTTGTTTGCACTCTTTCTGATTCCTGATAGGCTACAGCAAGCCTGACTATACAGAACCAATGACATGACCATACACTAAACCTCTTTTAAGATTAAGGAATTTATGTTCCCCATTTTTTCATGACTTTGTCTTTATTCTTATACAGGTAATATATAAATGTTTTGCATTACTGCAATCACAGTGATATCCTATTTCATTTATTAAAAATGTTCCATGTTTCTTACCTGTTCACGATTATCTTTTTTAATGACTGTGTGGTATTAATCTTACAAATCTGTTAACATTTTCTGAGTTGCTCTCCAGTTAGGCCTCCATCCCACAAAGACTCCCTGAGCACCCCCCGTGTGCAGGCAGCGAACAAGTCCACCTGCATGGAGCCCCCAAGCTGTGTGGGCCCAGAAGCCTCTGCTGTTCATAATCAACCAGGTGTGGGTTTTTAAGAACCAGAATAGTAATCTATGTACACGATTACAAATTCAAATGATACTTTCATTCTATGCCCTTTTGTAAGTCTCCCTCCCTCCCTGGACGCTAGGCTTCTTGTATATCCTTCCTTAAACATCTCCCACACACACAGGTATACATTCCCCCTTCTGGACAGTTATTCCAAGCTGACTGCTTCTGCAGCTGGCCACTTGATGAAAACTAGGGAAATTTTGTGATGAAACTTAAAAATACTAATCCGTTAAAGAAAAGTAAGAAGGATCCTTCCTGGGAAAATGTTATAAACCACTGATGTAGGGAGCATATCTTGGCTCTCCTTCCCAGAGCAAGTGCATTTGTCTTCCCTTGCTTCTTCCCGGTGCTCAGCTAAGAACCATAGTGACCTACGTGGCAAAACTGAAGGAAGTTAAATGAGCCAGCCCACGAGAAGTCTGGCATCTGGAACTGTCCCTATTTTCAGATGACCAGATTTTCTCCCTCCAGATAGTCCCTCATTCCGGGTAGTCATTTATCCCACTGAGGCTTGCCTTCCCCGAAATGCCCCATGCACAATTAAGTCCTCTCCAATTGAACTTCCACTCACCAGGCTGGCTACTGATGGTAAAGAGCAGGTGTCTTTGTGGAGTGTGTCAGAACTTAGAAGGCATTTTCTCCACCTATTACTTGATTCTCACAAAATTCCTATAGAATTGCCCAACGTGTGGGTGAAGAAACAGAGTCGGGTTAAATGCCTTGCCCAAAGTCACAACTGGTTCTCCAAACCCAAACTTTATGCTTTTTCAATCCTGGCTGCACCTCAAAAATAACCTGTTGCCTTTTAAAACATACAAATGGTTGGTCCTTATCCTGGATGTACTGACTTGGAATCCCTGGGAATAGGACCAGGGCACCTGTATTTGTAAAAAAACAAAACAAAAAAAACACTGTCCAGGTGAGTCTGATCCAGAACAGGGTTAGAACAGCTGGAGTAGGACAGGCTGCCTCTTGACCCTGAACAGCAGTGAGAAATGGCTTCCTGACCTCCACTGGTCTCCAGTGCACCTCCTAAGTCACCTTCTAACAGAAATCTAAAATTCAGCTCCTCCGGGCAGGGTCAGACTTCGTTCATGCCAGTGCTACCAGAGCCTTGGTACCTGCTGCACAAGCCGCTTCCTCCATACTAGCCCCTCTGCA